TGGCCTCCCAAAGTTCTGGGATTACAGGTGTGAGCCATGGCACCCGGCCAGTCTCACCAATTTAAATATTATCTATGTGCTGACTGAGCTGAAATTTTTATCTCCAGCACGGACCCCTCTCCTGAGCTCAACTCTGACTATCCCACATCTCCAGAATGTCTAAAAAGCACTCAGACCTGAACTGGCCTAAACAACTCCAATCTTCCCTGTACTCAAGCCAGCTCCTTTCAAAGTCATCCACGTCTCCACTGGAGCCACTTCATTTTTCCAGCAGCTCAGGCTAAAAACCATGAAGATATCTTGGCTCTGCTCCTTCCCTCACACCCCACATCCAATCTGCAAGTTCTGTAGGCCCTGCCTTCAATGCCCTTCTCCCACCTCCGCTGCTGGTCAGCCATGGAGGCTTCATCTCTTGTATTGATTATAGCAGTGGCCTCTGGACTGTCCTTTTTTTTTCTTTTTTTGAGACAGAGTTGCCCAGGCTGGAGTGCAGTGGCCCGATCTCAGCTTACTGCAACCTCTGCCTCCCAGGTTCAAGCGATTCACCTGCCTCAGCCTCCCGAGTAGCTGGGATTATAGATGCCTGCCATCAGCTGGGCTAATTTTTGTATTTTCAGTAGAGATGGGATTTTACCATGTTGGCCAGTCTGGTCTGGAACCCCTGACCTCAAGTGATCCACCTGTCACAGCCTCCCAAAAGGTAGGGATTAGAGAGACATGAGCCACCACGCCCAGCCTAGACTCTGTCCTTCCTTTTTTTTTTTTTTGAGACGGAGTTTCGCTCTTGTTACCCAGGCTGGAGTGCAATGGCCTGATCTCGCCTCACCGCAACCTCCGCCTCCTGGGTTCAGGCAATTCTCCTGCCTCAGCTTCCTGAGTAGCTGGGATTACAGGCACGCGCCACCATGCCCAGCTAATGTTTTGTATTTTTAGTAGAGATGGGGTTTCACCATGTTGACCAGGATGGTCTCGATCTCTTGACCTCATGATCCACCCGCCTCGGCCTCCCAAAGTGCTGGGATTACAGGCTTGAGCCACCGTGCCCGGCCTTTTTTTTTTTTTGAGGCTGAGTCTTGATCTGTTGCCAGGCTGGAGTGCAGTGGCGCAATCTCAGCTCACTGCAACTTCCACCTCCCGGGTTCAAGTGATTCTCCTGCCTCAGCCTCTCAAGTAGCTGGGATTACAGGTGCCCGCCACCACACCTGGCTAATTTTTGTATTTTTAGTAGAGGTGGGGCTTTACCATCTTGGCCAGGATGGTCTTGATCTCTTACCTCATGATCCACCTGCTTCGGCCTCCCAAAATGCTGAGATTACAGGCATGAGCCACTGGGCCCAGCCACTGTCCTTCCTTTGATCTTGTTCCTACATTCTCATCTCAACCCAGAAGCCAGGGTGTTTCTGGGACCCTCCTGCCCCCACAATGCCCTTCCCCCAGACATTCTCATTACTTGCTCCCTCACCTTTGGATCTTGACTCAAGTATCACCCCATTTTTGCCTTTCCTGAGCATCCTAGTTAAAACTACAAATTAACCCACTGAGAACCATCCCAGCAACCCGACCGCAGCTGGTCTTCCCTGGACACCATGAACTACACTGTCCAAACCTTCTTCACTCCCGCCAACACTGACCGTCCCCCCGAAGGAGGAGCCACATCATGCTCCTCCTTGATCATCTCAAGGAGGAGCATGAGGTGGCTGTGCTGGGGGCGCCCCACAACCAGGCTCCCCCAACATCCACCATGATCCACATCCACAGTAAGACCTCTGCGCCCGACCATGTCATCTGGTCCCTGTTCAACACCCTCTTTACGAACTCCTGCTGCCTGGGCTTCATAGCATTTGCCTACTCTGTGAAGTCTAGGGACAGGAAGATAGTTGGCGACCTGACCGGGACCCAGGTCTACGCCTCCACCGCCAAGTGCCTGAACATCTGGGCCCTGATTTTGGGGCATCATCATGAGCATTCTGCTGATCATCATTGCAGTATTGATCTTGCAAGTCTCTCAACAGATCAAGAGGCATCATCCCAGCCAGGAGCTCTGCCTGTGACCTGTTTCCCACATACTCCACCTTCCATTCCTCGCCCTGCCCCCAAGCTGAGTCCTGTGTCAGCCCTTTATCCTCACAAGCTTTTCTTTTTTTTCTTGGTGCCACGACTCAGATCCTCACACGCTTTTCTACGATGGTATTCAATAAAGTGCACATGTTCCTGGAATAAAAAAACGATAAATCTCCTTTTTTTTTTTTTGAGAAAGTATCTGGCTCTGTTACCCGGGCTGGAATTCGGCGGTGCTATCGACTCACTGCAACCTTCACCTCCTGGGCTGAAGCAATCCTCCCACCTCAGCCTCCCAAGTAACTGGGACCACAAGCGCACACCACCATGCCTGGCTACTTTTCGTGTGTGTGTGTATTCTTTTATAGACACAGGGTCTCACTGTGTTGCCCAGGCTGTCTTGAAGTCCTGAGCTCAAGAAATCCACCTGGGCCGGGCGCGGTGGCTCAAGCCTGTAATCCCAGCACTTTGGGAGGCCGAGGCGGGTGGATCACGAGGTCAAGAGATCGAGGCCATCCTGGTCAACATGGTGAAACCCCATCTCTACTAAAAATACAAAAAATTAGCTGGGCATGGTGGTGCATGCCTGTAATCCCAGCTACTCAGGAGCTGAGGCAGGAGAATTGCCTGAACCCAGGAGGCGGAGGTTGCGATGAGCCGAGATCGCGCCATTGCACTCCAGCCTGGGTAACATGAGTGAAACTCCGTCTCAAAAAAAAAAAAAAAAAAAAAAGAAATCCACCTGTCTCAGCCTCCTAAAGTGTTGGGATTACAGGTGTGAGCCACTGTGCCAGTCCAAAACTATGAATCTTTTACACTTATTTATTTTTTTTGTGTGTCTTTTTGTTTTTTTCCTTTTTGTGGAGAACAAGGTCTCACTATATTGCCCAGGCAGGTCTCAAACTCCTGGGCTCAAGCTATCCTCCCGCCTCTGCCTCCCTAAGAGCTGGGATTACAGGCGTGAGCCACAGCGCCCGACCAAAACTATGAATCTTGACCTTCCCTGTCCTCTCTCTCTGCTTTTTCTTCCTTCTAGAGCCTGTATCATTTAACTTACTATGTATATTACCTATTTATTTCATCTATTACTGGTCTCCTTTTAGGATACAAGAGTGGTGTCAATTCTGTTTTTTATTGTTTTCCTTGCTGCTTGGAACATACAGTAGGCACTGAATTTGCACTGAGCACTACAGTTGGAATAATGAGACTAAGCACAGTGGCTCATGCCTGTAATCCTAACACTTTGGGAGGCCAAAGTGGGACGATCGCTTGAGCCCAGGAGTTTGAGACCAGCCTGGGTAACACAGTGAGACCCCATCTCAACAAAAAATAAATTAAAAAAATTTTAGCTGCATGTGATAGTGCATGCCTGTAGTCCTAGCTACTCAGGAGGCTGAGGCGAGAGGACTGCTTGAGCCCAGGCGGTCGAGCCTGCAGAGAGCTGTGAATGCACCACTGCACTCCAGCCTGGGTGACCAGGAGACCCTGTCTCTCTTTTTTTTTTTTTTTTGAGACAGAGTTTCGCTCTTATTGCCCAGGCTGGAGTGCAATGGCACGATCTCAGCTCAGCTCACTACAACTTCCACCTCCTGGGTTCAAGATCTCAGCTCACCACAACCTCCATCTCCCGGGTTCAAGGGATTCTCCTACCTCAGCCTCCCTAGTAGCTGGGATTACAGGCATGCACCACCACGCCCGGCGGGGGTTTCTCCATGTTGGTCAGGCTGGTCTCGAACTCGGGACCTCAGGTGATCCGCCCACCTCAGCCTCCCAAAGTGCTGGGATTACAGGCATGAGCCACCCATCCTGGCCCATTTTTTAATTTTTATTTTTTTTAGAGACAGGGTCGGCCAGGCACGGTGGCTCACGCCTGTAATCCCAGCTACTCGGGAGGCTGAGGCAGGAGAATCGCTTGAACCCTGGAGGCGGAGGTTGCAATGAGCTGAGATCGTGCCACTGCACTCTAGCCTGGGCAACAAGAGTGACACTCCATCTCAAAAAAAAAAAAAAAAAAAAAGATGTAATGAGCAAAACCTGAAAAAGTCCATTAAGCTTGAAGTGTTGGGCAGCATTTCTCTAATTTTCGTGTCTAAGACCCTACCTCGGGAGCACTAGGAAGTGAAGACTCTGGCTCGACCCTGGGAGATTCTGGGGTAGATCTCAGTGGTGTGCACACTGCGGAAGCGCCCCTGGCGGTTTCGATTCGGGTCAGGTGCGGGTCAATCCGGTGTGCTGGGGATGGGTTGAAATTAAAACTGTCAGGGATGCCTGGTGTCTCACTCTAACAGCACCATCCACTCTCTCCTAAACAGTGCTTACGTGCCCGTCTCCCCTCTAAACCGTGAGGTGTGGTGCTGCGATGGCACCTCTCTTCTCTCTGTGCCCATTAGGCTCAGCACCGTGTAGGTGCCAGTTAATGTTTATTGAGAACGTGATGAATGGAAAGCGAATGAATGGTTACAAGGCGAATGAATGAGTAACAGGACTCTGGTTAGAAAAGGAATTTGAAGAATCAAGATCTGGAAGGTGGGAAAGTTTCCAAAGACTTCCGCTGCGCGCGAGGGGGCTCGGGAGGGGCAGGTACTTCAGAGGTCGGGATGCAATTGGCCGCCTGGGAAGGTAGCTGTGCCGCGGGCTGCTACGCGCGGGGCCGAGGAGACGTGGGCCTCAGGGGAGTTGCTGCCACTCAACCGGCCCCCAGCGGCGCTGCGGCTTGAGGCCCGGGTGAACAGCCTGGCCTGGCGCCGCCGTTGCCATAGCTACAGACGCAACCCAGTGAGGGGGCGGGCCTGGGGCGCACGTCATTCCTGGCGCGACGCTCCTCCTCGCTCCCGCCTCCTGGTCGGAGACCCTCGGCCCGCCTCGCGGGCGCTCCACCTGCGCGCCGGCTTCCCGCTGCCCCTACCCCGGTTCTGCGCCGGCGCGGTACCAAGGCGCGCGGGGGAGCTGCGAGGCGCATGCGCGGTGCGGGGCCCGCCGCTCTGCTGCTGTCGCTGCCGCTGCTGCCGCCGCCACCGCCACCGCCGCCGCCGTTACCGCCTCCCTGACGGCAAGTGTGTGAGGAGCTAAGGGTCGCCGCCGCTGCCGCCGCCGCTATGGGGGTGAGTGAGGCTGAGAGAGGAGACGGGAGGTACAGGAGCGCTCCTCGCTACCCTCACCCCCTTTGTTCTTAAACCCCCCTCTCACGTGACCCCAACCCCCTCCAGCCTCACGTGACCCTTTGCCCCCACATGACCCTACTCCCCGATTCTAAGGGTCCCGGCGCTAGGCCTAACCCGGGAATCCTCTGGAGAGCCCGTAGTCCGGGGCCCCACCCCCTCGCCGCCTCCCGCGTCACGCCAGCCCCTTCCTGCCTCGCGGACCCCTTGCCGGCCTCCCCACCCCCGTCGCCAGCGCGGATCCTGGGATTAGCCTCCCGCTCCCCCAGGGTCACTCATCACCTGGCAGTCACCAGCTTCGCCGCTTTTCACATCCGAGGTCAATCCTGGCTTGGAGGGAATTGAGGCCCAGAGGAAAGAAGGCGCCTAGCCAAGGTCACGCTGGCTGGGGCGTCAGACCCCGCTGTGGGTCTCTCGAATCCCAGTCCACTGCACTTCCCGCTACTCGAGTCTCAGCGAAGCCAATTCCCCTACACTGTTTGGAAACCTCTCCACCAGGTTCCTGCTGCTCTTGATAAACACAGCCTTCCCTTCCCATAGACTCCTGTCTTGACGCCTCCTGGTTGCAGTGAAGTGGTTCTTACGACCACTTGGGTTGTTAGGAGTTTTGGTAGTGCAGATGTTTTTGCAAGGGGAGGGCTGTGCAGGTGAGCCGGGAAGATGCGGGAGAGGCGGGGGCGGCGGCCGCGGATGCATATTGACCACCTGTTCGTGCCGGCAGCCTAGAGGTGGATTTTAGTTTTCTTTCCCAGCATATAGGGTAGGGCAGAAGTTGTTTGCAAGTTTCTGTGCGTTCACCGTGCTAAGTCTTAATTACAGCAGTATCAGCCACCCTCTTAAAAAGATAACGTTCTCCCTGGTACTGGCTATATTAGTTTTGTTTTGTTTTGTTTTGTTTTGTTTTTTTGAGACCGAGTTTTGCTCTAGCCGCCCAAGCTGGAGTGCAATGGTGCGATCTTGGCTCACTGCAACCTCCTCCTGGGTTCAAGCGATTCTCCTGCCTCAGCCTTCCTGGCAGCTGGGATTACAGGCGCCTGCCACACGCCCGGTTAATTTTTGGATTTTTAGTAGAGATGCGGTGTCACCATGTTGGCCAGGCTGGTCTCGAACTCTTCAGACATCCACCCGCCTGGGCCTCCCAAAGTGCTGGGATTACAGGTGTGAGCCACCACGCCCATATGGAATTTCCATCACTTAAGGGAACTCTGACTTTGGAGGTACCTCAATTCCAGCCCCATCTTTGCTGCTGCCGGTGTAATATTGTGCCAGTGAGTTGGCCTTGATGTGTTTGAATTTCCTCACCTGTGTGAGGGATGTGGGGATGCAGATACCTCCCCCTTAGGTTAGTAGTGAAGATTAAGTGAGATAATGGATGTGGATTGCTAAGGAGGTGTCTCCTAAGTAGTGGCTGTTATTTTTGCCTGTATCCTCAGCCTTCACTTTACTGATCCAAAATAGATTTGTGCTATTTTTAACCCATTGGGTTTGTCCCTACTGTTGTTAACCTAGTTTTTCTCCCCCTCCAATATTTATCGACTGAACAAATCAACTTATTAGACAAAACTAGTTGTCTTTGTCAAAGCAGTCATCATGTTTTACCAAAGAATTTTGGGTATTACATACTTCATATGTAGGAAACCAAGTCCAGAGATTTAGGCATATGTAACCTAGATTTTGGTGAAAGGTCCTAGATGTAGCCATTGTTGAAACTAAATGAAAACCGTGTCCCTGGTGTCGCTTAGTAACTGTTTAACCAGACGCAGGCACTGTGGATTCAGCAGAAAACAAGAAGTGTAATGTGACATTTTACTTCAACACTTCCTCATTGGTTGGGTTGAAATAGCAGGCCCTCTACTCCATAAGACAGGGTGAGGGAAAGAACAAGAAATATGCCCCAGAGATTCTATGATCCTTGCTTCCTTTAGGGCATCAATCTTATTACTTACACTTTTTCTTTTTTCTTTTTTTTTTTTTTTTTTGAGACAGAGTCTCGCTCTGTCGCTGAGACTGGAGTGCAGTGGTGTGATTTCGGCTCACTGTAACCTCCACCTCCCAGGTTCAAGCGATTCTCCTGCTTCAGCCTCCCAAGTAACTAGGAGTAGTCTGTCACCATGCCTGGCTGATTTTTTGTATTTTTAGTAGAGACAGGGTTGCACTGTGTTAGCCAGGATGGTCTTGATCTCCTGACCTGGTGATCCGCCTGCCTTGGCCTCCCAAAGTGCTGGGATTACAGGCATGTGCCACTGAGCTCGGCTTGTTACGCTTTACAGATGTGTTTCTCATGTCAGACCCTACAAAGTCTCTTCTGGCCTAAAATTCACAGTAACAGAGACTTGAATTCTCCTCCCTGAAGCAGCTGGAACCATCTCATCACCCTCATTCCACAACTGTGGGTGCTGGGGAGTCATTCCTTGTAGTCACCCTGTGGCAGAGGGCTGGGCTCCACTTGACAGCCTGGCCTCAGGCTGAGTGAGGCTTCAGATGGAGGCTTTCTCTTCAGTTGCCACACGTGTCCTAGTTGCCACACATGTGTCGTCTTTCAGGAATTAGAATTTGTATGTCTCTTGCTTCACCAAAAACAGGTTCTTTTTGGATGTTGGATACTATATGAGATGGAGACGTTGATACTGAAAATTAGAATTTGTATGTCTCTTGCTTCACCAAAAACAGGTTCTTTTTGGATGTTGGATACTATATGAGATGGAGACGTTGATCAGAGATGGCAAATTCCTTTCCTGAAAGGTGCCTCCTCCTCCCATCTGGATATTTATTTTCTTTTTTTCTATTTATTTATTTTTATTTTTTGAGACAAAGTTTTGCTCTTGTTGCCTAGGCTGGAGTGCAGTGGCACAATCTCAGCTCCCTGCAACTTCTGCCTCCCAGGTTCAAGTAGTTTCCTGCCTCAGCCTCCCAAGTAGCTGGGATTATAGGCATCCACCACCACATCCAGCTAATCTTTTTATATTTTTTGTAGAGATGAGGTTTCAGCCTGTTGGCTAGGCTGGTCTTGATTTCCTGACCTCAGGTGATCCACCCGCCTCGGCCTCCCAAACTGCTGGGATTACCGGTGTAAGCCACCTTTTTTTTCATTTGTCTTTATGACCTCTTACAGTCGTAGAGCTGTGTGTGGACTTGCTTCTTCGATGGGAATAGTAAGGGGAGGAGTTTTGCACTGCACAGGAAAACATTTATATAACACTTTATAACAAAAAGTGCCATGTAAACATAATTGTGACATAGTGGAAGGAGCATGGACTTTAGGTTCAAACGTGGGTTTGAATCTTGGATGATTCATTTAGCAGCTATGAACTGAGTACCTGCTGTTTGGTGAGCACTGGGTGAATATAGGCAGATAAAGTGGATCTGCCCTCGCAGCATGGGGCAGAGTCAAGGGAGTGGGAGGAAGAGCAGCTTTGAGAACTCTCCCTACTAGCTCTGTGACCCTGCAAGTTCTGTCCACTCTTTGTGCCTCAGATTTCTCATCAAAGAAGTAGTCACACCTACGATGCTGGGTTGTGTAGATTAGATTGATCACCTTTATGGAAGCACCAGCAGAACGTCTGAGGGAGGTCCCTGTAAACAGAATTCCCCTCCTGCGGCTGTTGGTGTAGGCATTGTGAGCCCCATTTTATGGATAAGAAAACTGAGAGCCAGAGAAATTTTGAGTAACTTGATGAAAAGAGCTCAAGTAACTTTCCTGAAGTCACATAGCTATTAAGTGAAAGAGCTGAGAATCAAATCCAGGTCTTTTGACTCAAAATCCTGCACTCTCTTTTTTTTATATATATATACAAAGCTCCCTTGGGAAAGACATTTAACCACAGTGAGCTTTACTGTTCATTGTGCTTATTTCCCATTTTAACTAGGAGCATTTTCTTGTGTCCCCATAGGACAGCCTGACCTCCACAAGGCAGGGGCAAAGCTAATTGGAATAATAGGAGACCACTTTTCCTAGTGCGGCCCCTCCCTGCCTGTCTGCCCATCTGGCTGCACCCCGCCTGATGCCCCGTGGGCAGTCAGTGGAGCACATGAGGGGTTCTTGAGTTACCGCAGTCTCAGGTCATGGCAGCCCCAGGCCTTGCTTTGAGGATTGCCTAGCTTGCCAGGTCTTCATGAATGAGCCTACAGATCTCCTGGAGGCCAGGCTGGCCCTCCTGCTGCTTGTGCTTAGGAATTACTTCTCACGCTTAGAAATGAGATAGAGGGAACCCAAGCTTCAGTGCTTTCTGGGTTCTGGGCATCACCCTTGCCCTCCAGCACCTTTGATCCTTGAGCCCTGTATTGTGGTAAGAGAGCAAGCATGTAGGGTGAAGGAAGGGAGCTTTTACTCACTCTGAAGGTGTTCTGGCTTCTGATCTGCCCTTACAGCTCCAAGAGGTCAGCATTTGCACCCGCATCTTCATGGAGATGGAGTTGCTTTCACAAGTCATTCTGGGGGTGGCAGGAAGAGCATAGGCCTGGTCTGTTGACGCCAAAGCTCATGTTCTTCTGCCCCATGGTACAGCCCTGAAGACCTTCTATCTCAGGCTTCTCTATTCCTTCTCTGCCTCAATGCCAAGGGTAGGGCCTGTAACGAAACTGTATTGGCATGCTGCTAACAAACCAGCCAGGTAGTGAGAAAGGAGTTGCTGAGTGGTTGCTGAGGGCTTCTGAAGCCCAGGTGTTATCTTGGCAGGGTGCAAGAATCTTTGTTGATGCCGGAGTGGAAGTCCACTCTGCAGGTTGTGGGCGCCTCAGTAGGAGACAGTGTTTAACAAGCATGAGCTGCAGCCCATCTTGGGACTGAGTCTCCCTCTGCCCCTCTTCACTGCACAACTCTGAGTGGTCAAATTGTCCCTTCAAGCCTCAGTTTCCTATTGTGTAAAGGGAGGTGATAGTTTCTGCCCTGAGAACTGAAACACATAATGTAGGCTGGGTGACGTGATGTCTCACGCCGGTAATCCCAGCACTTTGGGAGGCCAAGACAGGAGGATTGCTTGAGCCCAGGAGTTTGAGACCAGCCTGGGAAACATAGTGAGACTTCCCCCTATCGCTCAAAAAATAAAAAGAAACATAATGTTTATAAAAGCACTTTGCAAGCTGTATCTCAGTGTTGTCTTGAAACCCACATTTCCAGAGAAAAAGATAAATGCTCTAAGCCTATCCGTGGTAGAGGGAGGGTGGTTCTGTCCCAGGAGGCCAGCCTTATGAAGACAGCCCATTCTCTGGTTTGTCCCTTCCTCTAAGGAGGTAAGATCGGAGATCTTGCCTGTGTGCCACACAGTGCTCAGCCACGAAGTAATTAGTAGCTGGTGTTGGTAGAGTTTGTGCCTATGAGAGCAATCCTTGTAAGTTCCTGGTGAGTTGCTTCTTGGTTGATTAAAGCAGGAGGTAAACAGTGTCATTCCTTGGAAAATCGAGGGTAGAATTGATTCTGAGAACTTCCCCAGCAGCTGGTTTTTCAACTCATGCAGAAGGGTTAATCGCTCTGAGTGTCCTTTCCTGGGGCCAGTCTGTGTTAGGGCTAGATGTAATTGGGGGTTGTCAAACATCTAAAGAGAGCTCAGGGAAAGGAGAGGTGGGAGGTGTCAAAAGAGGCTGCTCTTTTGGTGAAAAGCAGAGCCAGCTTACCAGTGCCTTTGGAGTGCCTTCTGGGGACCGGCTGGGTGGTGCTGGCCCTCTGTGCTCTCAGGTTGCCTGCGGGAGAGAGAATGAGAATGGTCATTTATTGAACACATACCCTATTGACCCTCATGGGGATCCTCACTCATCAGGCCTTGGGGGGAGGCTTGAAGTGCTGTTTCTTGTCCTAGTACTGCGGGGCGTGGAGAGCAGGAAGAGGCTTTGATGGCTCCTGCCTGAGTGGCTGGATTACTTGAGGTCAGGAGTTCGAGACCAGCCTGGCCAACATGGTGAAACCCTGTCTACTAAAAATAGAAAAATTAGGCCAGACGTGGTAGTTCACACCTGTAATCCCAGCACTTTGGGAGGCTGAGGCGGGTGGATCACTAGGTCAAGAGATCAAAACCATTCTGACCAACGTGGTGAAACCCCATCTTTAAAAAAAAATTAGCAGGGCGTGGTGGTACATGCCTGTAATCCCAGCTACTCAAGAGGCTGAGGCAGGAAAATCGCTTCAACCTGGGAGGCAGAGGCTGCAGTGAGCCGAGATCGTGCCACTGTATTCCAGCCTGGGCAATAGAGTGAGTCTCCGCCTCAAAAAAAAAAAAAAAAAATAGGAGGCTTCCTTCAATGCCGCCTGAAGAAAGAAAGAAAGGAAAAAAATGAGGCTTTAGATGAAGTCTGCTAGACTTCAGAGCCCGGCTCTTGCCCTGTGTTACCCAGCTTTTCACAATAGGGTGAACAGGTCTTAGGCCTGAGAATCCCGCCTTGGCCTCAAAACAGGACCTGCTCTAGAAACAGCTGTGGGCGATTTGCCGTTCTTTGCTGTATGCCAGAATCCCCCTTTGCTGCTCCTCTGCTGCGAGCTGCTGACTGTGCCTGCAACTTTGTCTTGCTGACCACGTGTCACCTCTGTCCTGAGGTGAACCCCTTGGGCCCCTGCCCTCAGCCTTTTCGCTAGTTTGTAGTATGTCTGCCACTCATTGGTCTTAATTGAGCAGGGCTTCTGGGAATGGCTATGTGTCTTAGAGTCAGAAGATGGCGGCCCCCACTTTAATGAGACCCCACTCCCACAGGAGCTGTGGCCGACCAGATCTTTGTCTCCCAAAGCCAGAAGACACTGAAAAGGGTTTGAATGAACTTACACTTAGGAACAGTCTCAGCGACTCCCTCAGATGCCGTCTCCTCCCTGAAGTGGTCTTCAGGGTGCCTAGAGTTGGATGTTCCCTCCTTTTTTTGAGACAGAATCTCACTCTGTCACCAGGCGCCAGGCTGGAGTGCAGTGGCATGACCTTGGCTCACTGCAACCTCGCCTCCTGGGTTCAAGCAATTCTTCTGCCTCAGCCTCCCAAGTAGCTGGGACTACAGGTGGGCGCCACCACGCCCAGCTAATTTTTTTGTATTTTTAGTAGAGACGGGGGAATGTTCCCTCTTTAGGAGGGAGCAGTGAGTGAATGCTTACTAGGTGCCTACTGGGGGCTGGCCTGCTGCAGCCACTGTCAGCTGTCTCGCTGGTCCCCACAGTGTCTGTGTCAGGAGGGCCACTGCTCTTCCTGAGGGGAAGCTGAGAAGTCTGGTGACCTCTGAGGACTTCCTGCTACGAAATGACCTTCTTGGGTCTTCCCTGGCCTCCAAATGTGTGGCAGCTGAGATGGGAAGTCGCCGCTGGGCCAGGCCTGTGGATGCAGGGCCCTTCTGTTCCTCAAAGGGAAAATCAGTGTTTGATTGGCCACAGCCTTTCCAGCTAACGTTGCTTTTCCCTGTTGCAGAGAAAGTCGAGCAAAGCCAAGGAGAAGAAGCAGAAACGGTTGGAGGAGCGAGCAGCCATGGATGCCGTTTGTGCCAAAGTGGATGCTGCCAACAGGGTGACTCTCCCATTCTTCCCAGTCCTTGCCTCCTGGGACTTCCACTTGGTTTATAATTTGACTTATTTTGTCGCCACCCTGTGGCAGAACTGTGACACTACCCACTCACACCGTCTCTGTCTCCTTGCTGTTCAGAAAACTGAGCTTATACATGTATGTTGGGAGGAGGCGCCAGCAGTTGGCCCAGGTGTTTAGGAAAATGTGGATTCCAGTGAAGCAGCTGCCTCCCTGTGGATCTTCTTCCTTATGGATAGAGGAGGGTCTAGATAATTTTTTTAAATCTTTTTATGAGACAGTGTTTCACTCTGTCATTCGGCTGGAATGCAGTGGCATGATCTCTGCTCACTTCAGCCTTGCAACCTCTGGTGCCTGGGCCCAAGTGATCCTCCCACCTCAGCCTCTACACCCGGCCCATTTTTGTAGAGATGGGGTTTGGCCATGTTTCGCAGGGTGGTCTTGAACTGAGCTCAAGCATTTCACCTGCCTTAGCCTCCCAAAGTGCTGGGATTACAGGCATGAGCCGTGGTGCCCAGCCCCTGCCTCATTTAGTATCCCATTTTTTGGTTATGCTTTTAGCCCACTCATAGTAAACACTCCACATTTATAAGAGTGTGGCTCAGGGACGTGATTTTCCATCTGGAGTTTTAAACAGATGAAGGCAGTGGAGGCTTCTTTTAAGAAGTGTGCAGGCAGATCAGATGGCCTCTCTGCTTTGGGTTAGCTGTGTTCTGAACAAGTAGTATGCCCACAGGCCAATGAAGTCTCCTCTTGCCCTGTCAGGTGAGGCCAAACTTAACTCTCCTGGGCCTCCCCACCAAAGCCTTCCTCACACATGTGACTTCAGAGCTAGGCAGATGGAGGGTCTGCGAGGCTGCAGCTAGTCTCCCGTTGTGAGTCCCCACAGCGTCCCACTCCAAGACAACAGCTCTTGGGACAGGGCCTGCACCTCCGCCACACTATCTGTGATAGTCCTCTTTTCTTTCCCTCCACAGCTCGGAGACCCTCTGGAAGCTTTCCCAGTGTTCAAGAAATATGATAGAAACGGGTGAGTCATATTGAGCATTACCAACTGCTATCTCCTTGAGTATCTTCAGGAATTCCCCTTCCAGAGTGGGCTTCCTCAGACCCACATTTTCTCATTCTTCTTCATATTATAAAAAAGCAGAAACTGGCTTATCCCCCAGGTAGGGTGACAGAGGAATCCATAAATGAGCAAAGATTGCTCTTAATCTCAGAGATGTCTTTTTTTTTTTTTTTTTTTTTTTTGAGTTGGAGTTTAGCTCTTGTTGCCTAGGCTGGAGTGCAATGGCGTGGTCTCAGCTCACCACAACCTCCACCTCCCAGGTTCAAGTGATTCTCCTGCCTCAGTCTCCTGAGTACCTGGGATTACAGGCACGCGCCACCACACCCAGCTAATTTTGTATTTTTAGTAGAGACGAGGTTTCTCCATGTTGGTCAGGCTGAACTCAAACTCCCAACCTCAGGTGATCCGCCCGCCTCAGCCTCCCAGAGTGCTGGGATCACAGGCATGAGCCACCACGCCCAGCCTGATGTCTTGTTAGATAAATATATGTGTGTGTGTGTGTGTGTGTGTGTATGTATATTTTGCCACTCTACATGTAACACCTTTGACCATATAGATAAATATTTATTTTTTGAGATGGAGTCCTGCTCTGTCACCCAGGCTGGAGTGTAGTGATATGATCTCAGCTCACTGCAACCTCCATCTCCTGGGTTCAAGCGATTCTCCTGCCCCGGCTTCCTGAGTAGTTGGGATTACAGGTGCATGCCATCACGCCCAGCTAATTTTTGTATTTTTATTAGAGACAGGGTTTCACCATCTTGGACAAGTGGGTCTTGAACTCCTGACCTCATGATCCACTCACCTCGGCCTCCCTAAGTGCTGGGATTACAGGTGTGAGCCACTGCACCTGCCTAATTTTTGTATTTTTAGTAGCGATGGGGTTTCACTGTGTTGGCCAGGCTGGTCTCGAATTCCTGGCCTCAAGTGATCTGCCTGCCTCAGCCTTCCAAAGTGCTGGGATTACAGGCATGAGTACTGCGCCCGGCCTGATGTCTCTTTAGTACTGATTATTCTCTCTGTACAAAGAATCATTGAGCCAAAGCAAACTTGGAAAATTATCTAGGCTGACACTCACATTTAACTCATGGGAAACTGAGGCTCAGAGAAGTCAAATGAGCTTTCTGAGTTTATGGAGTTTCCCTCTGACAGCTGAGGGAGCTTTTAATTTCCAATCTAGTGCTCTTTCCCTGAGTGTATAGTATAATTGTTAAAAGCCACTTACTGGCTATTTGGCCCTGGGCAAATTACTTTTTCTCATGTGTATGTATGTATATATATACATACATACATACACACACACACACACAGACACAAATTTTGGTAGAGAAAGGGGTCTCACTACATTGCCTAGGCTGGTCTCAAACTCCTGTCCTCAAGTGATTCCCCCACCTAAAGTGCTGTGCCTAGCAGACCCTCAACAAATTACTTAACCTCTCTGTTCCTCAGTTTTCTAGTAAAAAATGGGCCTAGGCCAGGTGTGGTGGCTCACACCTGTAATCCCAGCACTTTGGGAGGCTGAGGTTGGGAAGATCATTTGTGCCCAGGAGTCCAAGACCAGCCCTGGCAACATAGGAAGACCCTGTCTCTAAAAAAAAAAAAAATTTTTTTTTAATTAGCTGGGCATGGTGGCACATGCCTGTAGTTCCAGCTACTGGGGAGGCTGATGTGGGAGAATTGCTTGAGCCTGGGAGGTGGAGGCTGCAGTGAGCCATGGTAGTACCATTGCACTCTAGTCTGGGTGACAGCAAGATGCTGTCTCAAAACAAAACAAAAACTCCAAACCAAAAATGGCTCTAATAATAGTACCTTTCTCATGGAGTTGTCAGGAGGATAAGATGCAAAGTGTTAGTTCCTGCAGCATAATGAAAACTAGATAAGTGTTTGCTGTTATTTTATTTTTAAAATGTATTTTATTTTGGATCGAGGGGTACATGTGCAGATATCTTGTGTAATGGTGGGGTTGGGCATCTAGTGTACCCAGCACCCAAATGGTGACCATTGTACCCAGCAGGTCAGCTTTCACCCCTCCCCCTGTTTGCTGTTATTATTGCTGATCCAGTTAACTATAGGCTATGGATTGAAAGCTTCCTCACTTTTTTGTCCTTTTGGTATCTAAAATAGGAGGCATAATCTGCCTTACCTGAAATGCTGTTGATGAGTTGTGCTTCCAGAATATAACATCTTGGCTTGGGGATAAACAAGGGCTGTGGCTTCTCTGTGCTGGGGGTTGGATTATAGCTGGGCTGCTTATTAACTCTATTTGGAGAAGTCACTCATACTCTTCAAGCCCCATTTTCTTACCTGTCAGATAGGATGATGCCAAACTTGCAAGGTTGTTTTAAGAAGGAAACAGGGCCGGGCGCGGTGGCTCAAGCCTGTAATCCCAGCACTTTGGGAGGCTGAGGCAGGTGGATCACGAGGTCAAGAGATCGAGACCATCCTGGTCAACATGGTGAAACCCCGTCTCTACTAAAAATACAAAAAATTAGCTGGGCATGGTGGCACGTGCCTGTAATCCCAGCTACTCAGGAGGCTGAGGCAGGAGAATTGCCTGAAGCCAGGAGATGGAGGTTGCGGTGAGCCGAGATTGCGCCATTGCACTCCAGCCTGGGTAACAAGAGCGAGACTCCGTCTCAAAAAAAAAAAAAAAAAAAAAAAGAAGGAAAAGGAAAATATTTGGCTAAGTAAGTAGAAGCTGGTATGGGTTTTTTTTTTTTTTATTTTGATTTTTTTTTTTTTTTTTTTTTTTTTGAGATGGAGCCTCACTCTGTGCCTAAGCTGGAGTGCAGTGGCGCAGTCTTGGCTCACTACAGCCTCTGTCTCCTGGGTTCTAGCAGTTCCTCTGCCTCAGCCTCCTGAGTAGCTGGGACTACAGGCACACACTACCATGCTGGGCTAATTTTTGTATTTTTAGTAAAGAAGGGGTTTCACCATGTTGGCCAGGCTGGTCTTGAACTCCTGACCTCAAGTTATCCATCCACCTTGGCCTTCCAAAGTGCCAGGATTGCAGGTGTGAGCCTCTGCTCCTGGTCTCTGAAAAGTCTTTTGACATACTTTGCCTTGAATTTTGTGTGATTCCTGTGGCTGTGATCTTACTTTCATGTTCTTTAATGGAGAATTTGTACCTGCAGATGGGCTTTGGACATTTTGTAGTTAAGACAGATTCAGTGCTGTGTTTGGGCAGCTGTGACGGCTAAGTGGTTGATAAAGAAAACACGCCCAGCTTTGGGGCAGGAAGTTCTGAATTACAAGGCTGAGCAAATGTGGTGTGCCAGTCTGTAATGGTGATGGGATTCCAGTGGGCACATCCTCTGGGGGTTGTGGTCATTGAAATACATTGATATGGGAGCTCTTTAAAGGCTTCGCGTTTGCTGACTCTAGTCCTTTCAGAGTGTAGTACTATCTAGAGAATGATTTCACAGATTGGTCAAGGAGTTTAACTGCATTTTACTTAAACTTCATTTAGAAACAGATACCTTAACACCTGTGGCATTTGTGGATTTAGAAAAACAGTGTTGGACTGGAGCCTGCTTCACTCTGTTTTTTTTGTTTGTTCGTTTGTTTTTGAGACAGGCTTTCGCTCTTGTCCAGGCCGGAGTGCAGTGGCACGATCTCGGCTCTCTGTAACTTCTGCCTCCCAGGTTCAAGTGATTCTCCTGCCTCAGCCTCCTGAGTAGCTGGGATTACAGGCATGTGCCACCATGCCCAGCTAATTTTGTATTTTTAGTAGAGACAGGGTTTCACCATGTTGGCCAGGCCTGTCTCAACCTTCTGACCTCAGGTGATCCACATGCCTCGGTCTCCCAAAGTGCTGGGATTACAAGTGTGAGCCACTATGCCAGCCTCACCCTGTTGACTAGCTGAGAGTATCCCCCCTCCTCAGATGAAGCAGGCAGGACTCCTGGCATGGGGGGGCGGGTTGGGGTGTGTTCAATCATAGTCTTCTTGAAGGACCTGGGGTCACCTAGGGGTTTTGAAGGCGAGATTGGTAGATAAGAGGAAAGGGGTCCCATGGGAGCACAGTGAGGAGTCAGTTCAGAAATTACAGCAACAGGAAAAATGCCTAAGGGCAGGAATGAAATAACAGAAGACATGAGTGTTTATAGCAAAGTACAGAAGAGACAGAAAAGGTGGGAAAAGAATAAAGAGGTAGCAGAGAGAGACAAGAAGTTTACAAAGTGCCGAGGCAGATAAGGTCAGCTTGGGGAGGCAGGAGACAGGCCTTGTGGTGGGGGGTGGGCTGCGTGCCCACAATTCTTAATCTCAGCCTGAAAGACTTCGTTCCTGCAAGGCACCTTCTCTGGTCATGCTGGGGAAGGTACAGGGTTGGCTCTTCTGTCGATAACTGAGACCAGGCCCTCCTCCCTGTAGACTTTGAGTGAGGAACAGCAGTACCCTGGCAGGAGCGCTGTAATGCATTCAAGCACCCCCTGTTCTCTTCTCAGGTTGAATGTCTCCATTGAATGTAAGCGAGTGTCTGGACTAGACCCTGCCACCGTGGATTGGGCCTTCGACCTGACCAAAACGAATATGCAAACCATGTAAGCGTATCCTGACCAGGGGAGCCTAGTTCCTCTCCCAGCTTCCCTTTCTGACTGCTCCCAAATTCCTCAGGTATGAGCAGAGCGAGTGGGGCTGGAAGGACCGAGAGAAACGGGAGGAAATGACAGATGACCGAGCCTGGTACCTCATTGCTTGGGAAAACAGTTCCGTCCCTGTTGCCTTTTCTCACTTCCGGTTTGACGTGGAGTGCGGGGATGAAGTCCTGTACTGGTAGGAGCCATGGCTTGGGGGAGGTCGGGGAGAGAGACCCTGGTGAGTCCAGGCACTCACTCCAGCCTACCTAGGTCTATGGGCTGCCAAGAACTGCATTCTCCTCTGCCAGACCTTATAGCCTCTTCGTGCTCATCCTGCAAGCTCACCTCTCTGCTTTCTTCACCTAGCTATGAAGTGCAGTTGGAAAGCAAGGTGCGGCGGAAAGGCCTGGGGAAGTTCCTTATACAGATCCTGCAGCTCATGGCCAACAGGTAAGGCCCCTGCTTCTTAGGAGGCCCGTGCAGCACTCTGTTGGAAGGAGATGTCACTGAGGCGCTTGCTATTCTTTGAGCTTCCTTGGAGGGCCGGGCTCCTAGGCATGTTTTGTGAGAAAGGTGTCTTAGAACCCTCTCAGTAAGACACTGTCTGCCTTGTTATGACTCCAGATTTTGTATGTTCACCTCAGCGAAGCAACATCTTTTGAGTTCCTAATCTGTGCCACATTCTGTACCTAAGTAATAGGGCTACAGAGGGAAAGTGGGAAAGATCCCTGCTCTGGAAGAAGCCAGTCTGGTCGGGGCTGATGCCTCTGCAGTCTCATCAACTTGTGAAGGAGGGAAGCAGTGAGTGCTGTGGGGGTCCAAGACCTCTGGAGGCTAGAGGCCAAATTCAGGAACACTTCTTTGGGTGAAAGGGAGGTAATAGAGACAGAAAAGAAAGGAAGCATGACCTTAATCTCTGTTTCTCCTTTTTTTTTTTCCCAAGACAGTCTCACTCTGTCACCTAGGCTGGAGTGCAATGGTGTGATCATATGTCACTGTAGCCTCTACCTCCGAGGCTCAAGCAGTCCTCTGGCCTCAGCCTCCAGAGTAGCTGGGACTATAGGCATATGCCACCATACTGGGCTAATTTTTAAAATTTTTTAAATGTTTTGTAGCGACAGGGTCCCACACTGTTGTCCAGTCTGGTCTTCAACTACTGGGCTCAAGTGATCTTCCCACCTCAGCCTCCCAAAGTGGTGGGATTACAGGTGTGAGCCACCATGCCCAGTCATGTTTCTCTTTCTAAAAGGTACTTGCTCTGCTTTCTTCCAGCACACAGATGAAGAAGGTTATGTTAACAGTATTTAAACACAATCATGGCGCCTACCAGTTCTTCAGAGAAGCGTTGCAGTAAGGAGCTGGGTGTGGGTCCTTCTGGGTGGTAGGTGGGCCTGCTGAGGGCCATTTTTCTGGTCCTGGCCCCCACTCATCCTGATATCTGAGCTCACAGTCCAGGTCCATGGGGGTTCAGGTTTGGGGAGATGGTATGGTTGTGCCCTCTGATTTGGTCCCCTGCCCACCTCCTGCACCTTCATCCTAAGGGCCTTATCAGTGTGGCTGGTAGAAAAGTCCTCGGGCCAGGGAGGAAGGCATACATATTCAGCTCCCTGCCACCAACCCTTCTCTCCTGCCTGCCTTGCAGATTTGAAATTGATGACTCTTCCCCCAGCATGTCCGGTTGCTGTGGGGAGGATTGCTCCTATGAGATCCTGAGCCGGAGGACCAAGTTTGGGGACAGTCAACACTCCCACGCGGGTGGGCACTGTGGTGGCTGCTGCCACTGAACTCTCAGAGCCACTTGCAAGTCACAGTGCTCTCTCCTAAGGCCTTTCTTCTTTCCTGGTCTCTCCGTTTGCCAGGTGCCCTCAGGGCTGTAACCTCCCCAGCCCTGCACGTGCCAGGCTGCAGCCCGAGAGCACAGAATCCTGGAGAGAAGTGGTATGAGCTGCTCCTCCTCCTCTCCTAGGAGACCAGAATGCTGGGAGGGAATGAAGGGGAGAGGGAAGAGTGGGTGGGCCTGGCTGTGAAGCTCATCCTCCACGGTGGCTGCCTCTTCACTTGGCTTCTGGGCCCTGCAGTGGAAGTTCTCCCACTGCTGCAGCCCGTAGATTCCTGGCACCGTCCCTGCCCCCAAACACACACACTTGGACAAATGGAATGTTTATGCCCACCTTTATGAAAGTTCTGGAGTCCTGGGTCTAGGGTTTGCTGATCCCCAAATTGAAACACACTGGGTATAAGATCTGGGCATAGAGGGAGGCTTCAGAGAGACTCACGCTTTCACAGATGGAATGCTCCTATGGAGACCGTGGGAAGATCTTTTGTGCCAAGATGCAGGGAAGTGAAGAAAGCTCTTTCCAGCTGTTTTTATGGATTCATGGAGTGGGCTCACGTTGGGACCAGCTGACTCTGGGAGGAGGACTGCTTCTCTCCATCGCTGTCAGTGAGAGAGAACCTGAAAGAACCAGGAATGAGGTGTTCTGTGCGGCCCGCCGTGGGGATGATCTTCTTTAGGCTCCTGGTCGTGGCTGCATTCTGAACTTAACCTCCTGGTCTCATGGCAGTCACTTGAGCTTTTGATTCATAGAAGAAAGCCGGAGGTTCTGCTTGTTCATGTCTGCCAGCCCTCACCGTTCTTTCTCTTGTGCCTCTCGCCTCTACCCCAGATACCTCTGTTCTTAGTCTCAAGGGGAGAATAACATCAGGGAGCCCCTTCTTTCCCAGGACTTCACGTTCCTCGAATAGTTTTAACTCCATTTCTTCTCTTGGTGCTGATCGCTCTCTAAGGGTAGGGCATCCCTCCCTGCAGCCACTCTCCCTCTTCAGAGAGCCCCCAGCCAGCAGCAGGCCCCTCTGCCTGCATTCCTCAGCCTTGCCCCTCACTGCCTCAGTGAGGCACTAGTGCCACTGCCATGGCCTAGCCGAGCCATAGCTCAGCTGCAGCAGGAATGCCTCTCAGTGGCCAAAATAGCTGCTTTTCTTTGTGATGTTACCCTGTGGCAACAGGCTGGAACAGGGGCAGGAGAAAGCCTTCTCTCGTACAATAGAGAGGATGCAGGCTCGGAGCTAATGCTCATCCTGATCTCCAAGCCTTGTTCCTCTTCAGGAAAGAAAAACCAAATCCTGGCTGGGCGCGGTGGCTGACGCCTGTAATCCCAGCACTTTGGGAGGCCGAGGCGGGCGGATCATGAGGTCAAGAGATCGAGACCATCCTGGCCAACATGGTGAAACCCGATCTCTACTAAAAGTACAAAAAATTAGCCGGGCGTGGTGGTGCATGCCTGTTGTCCCAGCTACTCGAGAGGCTGAGGCAGGAGAATTGCTTGAAACCGGAAAAGTTGCAGTGAGCTGGGATCGTGCCACTGCACTCCAGCCTGGTGACAGAGCGAGACTCTGTCTCAAAAAAAAAAAAAAAAAAATCCTTATCCAGGAAAAAGCACCTAGCAGCTCCCCTTGGACATCCCTGAGCTCTGCTTTGGGGAGTATCATAAAAGTTCTAGCCTTCGTGAAGTTGCTCTTGTGGAGGTCTTTTGGTCCCTCTGACCTCAGCATCTGCTCACACCCCACTCTCTGCCCGACTCTGGCAGTCTGTCCTGGCAGATCTCCTAAGTGGTCCTTGCTTCGCACTTGGATTCCTGTTTGTGCAGGAGCCTGTGTGCACAGAGCCTCCCTCACCCAGCCTGGCCCTTCTGCTGAGCACTCTGCGCTGCTCTTGATTGGCAACAGTGGGACTGGGCACTCCTAAGAGAGTTGTCTTGTGGCATTACACTGGAATAAGTCTGCCTCTGCCTCCCCCTGCTGGCTCCTAGGGGGTTTCACCCCAGGGAGAGTTGACATTGCTGGAGGGTTTGGTGGACTCCTAAGAACCATGAAACCACAGGAGCATGTTTAGGAAGACATTTTTCTCTGGTCCCTGTCTCACAAAGGACACATATGATTAAATATTTGTTGTCTTAGATCATGGATTCCTGATCCCTCTCACTCAGGGGGATCGAAAGGAACCCTCTGTAGTCATCCCATGTAAGGTGAGTTTGGTATACATTGTCTCTTTCCAGTCACTGGATGCATGGCATCAGCTGGTCAACGGTGCTTGGTGTCATGCCCTGCTCACCTCAGTCTCTGCAGGCCATGTCCCAATGCTTCCTCAGGAGATCGGGGCTGGGGTGAGAGAGGCACTGTCTGAGATCCGCAGTCACTCTTGGTGTTGAGCCCATTCGTTTCCAAAACATCTGTCTTTTCTCCACTTCTCCTAGGTCTTGGTTTTGAGAAACAGCAGGCATGGCTGGTCGCAGTGGCTCACGCCTGTAATCCCAGCACTTTGGGGAGTCTGAGGCAGGTGGATCACCTGAGGTCAGGAGTTCAAGACCAGCCTGGTCAACATGGCAAAACCCCATCTCTACTAAAAATACAAAAATTAGCTGGTCGTGGTGGTGGACGCCTATAATCTCAGCTTCTTGGGAGGCTGAGGCAGGAGAATCACCTGAACCTGAGAGGCAGAGGTGGCGGTGAGCCAAAATCACACCATTGCTTTCTAGCCTGACAGTGAGACTTTGTCTCAAAAAACAACAAAACAAAGAGAAACATAGCAGCCCTTTTGTACCAGGCTTTGTGTTGTTTTTTTTTGTTTGTTTGTTTGGAGCATGTTGAGATACTTTTTTAAGATTTTTAAATTTTGTTATATCCACCCTAATTTTTGTTGGTGACAAATGTGTATAGGACATGTAAATGGTTCTTTTTAACCCCTTCTGTTTTTTTGTTTTTTTTTTTAAGGAAATTTTTTTTTTTTCCTTTAGCAGCTTGTTATCACTGGAATCAAAGGGAAAAAGTGATCTCTTTTTGCATTGGTTGTATTTGTACGTCACAAATAAAAGACACTTTGTTCAGCTGCTGAGATGGCTTCCTGATGCTGGGACACTGTGGGCAACGTGGACCCGGGAAGCCCTAGGCCCTGAGCCTATCCCAGCATTGGGCCCGACTCTCAGGAGGTGCGTGGCTGATGGCCCCGTACCCTGCCCTGTGAAGAAGCCCCAGGCTGGAGAAAACCTCAGGGTGTCTGGGGCAGCCAGAGGTGGGAACAGACTAGATGTATGTGTGTGCCGCTTCCCAGAAGTTCTGAGTGTGGTCAGAGGTGTTCTGAAGGGTGTACTTGGTATGCATCCTGGAGAGAAAGTCCCAAGCTAGGGCTTGGGACATTTGACATCTGTGTCCCAGCATAAATTCCAGTGCCTGTGTATGGGAGGTGAATAGACGAGAGTGTTTCTTTCCTCTTCAACTTTATTGGGTTACTCAAAATATTCATCTCTTTTTTTTTTTTTTTTTTTTTTTTTAAGAGTTGGGGTTTCACCATGTTGGCCAGGCTGATCTGGAACTCCTGACCTCAGGTGATCCACCCACCTCAACCTCCCAAAGTGCTGGGATTATAGGCGTGAGCCACCTTGCATGGCCAAAATATTATTTGTCTCTTAAAACTCCTGCCCTCTTCCCTCCATTCACAGAAGACAAAGCCTTCAAGGAAGGGCAGCTCATGTAAGGCCTGCCAGGACAGGAGAGTTATGAGCTGGGGGAGGCTCTGACCCCCAATGACAGATGGAGCTGCGCAGCTTGTTCCCCAGACAGGGCTCCTGCCAGGCCCTGGCCCTGTACTTTCTGTGGCCAGTGGAGTGGCTACCCTGCTGTACTCTGCTTGGCGGTCTGCATCTGCTGGAGCAGAGAGTGGGAGACCCTGGTCCACACGGAGCGTTTGGGCCCTGGCAGATCAAGCATCTGGGGAAAGGAGCCACGGTCATACCTGTCCCGTGGGTACCACCCGTGGCATGTTGTGGCCTCTCACCTGTGGGCAGGGCACACGTGCAGGTGGTTTGTGCAGCTATCTTATCTGAGGCCCAAAGAAAGGTAGCACAGCCCTTCCTTGGGAAGGGAAAGCAATTTGCCTGGCGAATCACACAGCCAGTTTCCCGTGTGACGGAATTCTGGCCCCCATGTTCTTTGTTCCTTGAAGGTTGTGTTTTTGTCCCAGGCAGAAACTTCTTGAGATGGCCATCCCCTTGGTAAAGGGTAAATGGCCATAGTTGGAGGGCATTGGGCCATTCCTTCATGCCTGCTGGCTGAATGCAGGGAGAGTTGAGGTCTGTGCCCACTCTTCCTCTGTCTTCACAGTGGCCTGGGCCCTCCGCAGCAGCTGCCTCAGTGAGGTGTGGTATGACTCCAGGGGTCTGTCCATGGGCAGGTGGAGCAAGAGACCCCACTGCCAGGCAGTAGACAGTCCAGAGCCTGGGCTGGATTGAAAGGGACTGTGTCCCCAGAGGGTGGGATGCCACTCACCAGATGTTTCTGCTGCCGGCTTTGAAGGTAGTCAGTTCAAACTAGGGGGCAGGCTTTTCTAGTTTTTCCTAGAATACTCTCCCCATGTGCAATAGAGTTTGTTCTATACCCCTGAGGACAGATGGGGTCTGGGGAGAGGGAAGGTGTTGCTGTGGAGCCTGGTGAACTACTTGTGGTGGCATTACTCCCATCTAAGGATAAATCGCCAGTGCCATGGCTCACGCCTGTAGCCGCAACACTTTGGGAAGCTGAAGTGGGAGGATTGCTTGAGGCCAGAAGTTTGAGAAAACCTGTGCATCATAGTGAGACCCTGTTTCTAAAAAAATATTTTTTAATTAGCTGGGTGTGGTGGCAGGCACCTATGATCCCAGCTATTTGGGAGACTGAGGTGGGAGGATTGCCCAAGCCTCGGAGTCTGAGGCTGCAGTGAGCCATGATTGTGCCACTGCACTCTGGCCTGAGTGATAAAGCAAACAAAACCCTGTTCTTTAAAAACAAAAGCAAAAAAAAAGTCTAGGCATGGTGTGTCACACCTGTAATCCCAGCACTTTGGGAGGCCTAGGTGGGCAGATCACTTGAGGCCAGGAGTTCGAGACCAACCTGGGCAACATGGCGAAACCCCATGTCTACTAAAAATAAAAAATTTATTACCACTGATTCTTTAAAAAAAGGAAAAAAAAAAAAGGAAAAATAAAAAATTTAGGCCGGGCATGGTGGCTCACGCCTGTAATCTCAGCACTTTGGGAAGCCGAGGCAGGCAGATCACCTGAGGTCAGGAGTTCAAGACCAGCCTGGCCAACATGGTGAAACCCTGTCTTAAAAAAAAAAAAAAAAGAAAAGAAAAAAAAGTTTAGCTGGGTGTGGTGGTCTGTGCCTGTAATCGTAACTACTTGGAAGGCAGAGGCTGCAGTGAGCCAAGATAACCCCACTGCACTCCAGCCTGGGCGACAGAGTGAGACTTTCTCCAAAAAAAAAGATAAATTGAGAGTGAAAAGTAAATTGCTCATAGTCCCAGTAGTAAGTGGCAGAGCCAAGAATTGAACACAGCAGCGTAGGAGGTGTTACCCCATTTAATAGATAACCGGGAGCTTGGGAAAGAAAAGTAAGACAGGAGCAAGCCAAGGACAACCACAGCTGTGTGCCTGACTAGGTGCCTTCCCTCCCGTGCTGCCCTCCTGCACAGCGGCTGTGAGAGGCCTAACTTCTTCCTGAACAGGAGCTATGGGCCCCAGAGGCCCCTCCCGCCCCACCTTATTTCCAGTGCCGGGGACC